TGTTCCAACAATCATGCTAACCGGCTTTAGTACACTTAGCTTCTCCCCGATGTAAACAAGATGATAAAACAGTGGCACGAATGCAAAAAGCAGCAAATCAACGGTAAAAAAACAAACAAACTTAAGCAAGAAAGTTAAGAGAGGGCAAAGCTTAATATGTTACTAATAGAAGTTTTTTAAAGAAAAATAACAAGTTTGATCCAGGCTGAATGATTATGTTAGGATAGCGTTGTAGGCAAAGATACATATTCCAAAACTCTCTACCTTCCAAATAAAACTATCTTATTCAGTTCACCATACTGTTTTCTAGTCTAAATGATTTCAAAGGTAATATATAGCTTTTGAATTAACAAGACACTTGAGCTGCCTTATCCCTCATTAAGCACCATCATTTAACATAACATGCTAACTTATGAGATATGTTATTAAGGCAATTAGCATTATTTATATACTAGAAGTACGTCATCATACTCATCTTCACATAAATCATGGCTCTTACAAATATGAACTCTGCCTCCTGAGCTTAATGAAGTCCTTGCAATTACAAGAAAAACAGTTTTTCCTCATTAATATGCAAATGAAAGCACATGTGCTCTAGAATCTAATGAAATCGTCTCCTCTATAGGGCTGTGTAATTATGAATATACGGCAGTTTTTTTGCACAATAATTTATTCCTAGGATTGTGGATGCATATGGCAAAAACAGACAGACATATCGTGATTACATAATGATATTTTTATCATCAAACATTTTGGAGGTGATTTTTTGCCGTTAATCAACCTTTTGGACGGAATATGAACCCATAAGTGTAGTTTAAAAATGCAGTTTAGCAAATTATGCAGCAGCTTAATGGCTCTTCTGCTTTATTGAAGATTAGTAGGCCTGTGTGTATAACTTATAGTATCACTTCTTATACCAGTTTTCATGTGCAGCAAAAATCTGCATTTTTCTATATACTGCCAAATCACATACTACACATAGACATAAAAGAAAAGTCAACAACAAGGTGTTGTAAATTGTCTTAAATTGTAGGTATTCTTTACACACACAATTATGCCACGCATATGAAGCTTTTTATTTGAGTGAATGAATATTTCCTGTCAATCAGTTGTATGGTTATGTCTTGGTGGGTTTGAATTGTACATTGCACATTCCCTCCCATGCTTGCCTTTGCAAGTGGCTGTTACATTTATAAGCCAAAAAAAAGCCACTATTTCAAAACTAAACATTTATTCTATCTTAGGTGAAGTCCAAAGTGTCAAAAATCACAGTTCCACAATTTATTTGAGCTATTTACAGGGCAGTAAGGAAACACTTTGTATTCATCGTTATGGTAAAACAATTTGACCAAAACATATCATCATGAAACTTCCCCAGTTGATTACTAACATTAGGATTCTTTTTTTTTGTATTTTAGGTTTGTATGAATTGTTTGTTTAAATATGGAAATGACGCAACACAAATCTGACCATTGGATATAGCCAGATTCAAAATGGTGTTCCTTTTTCATTTTCATGATGGAGGTAAAGGTTTTTACTGAGGTAATTGTTGAGGGATATCTCTTTGTAGTACACCATAAATCCCAAGATTACTGTTAAAAGTCATAATAAATGTATGTTTTTGGGAATTAAATGTTCGATAAATCAGGTTCAACCATGTGACATGTGCAGCATCGCTGGATGAAAAAGGTGTTTGCCAGCACTTGCCCTCTTCAGCCTTCCCTCCTTGTTGGCCGACATAATGACAGTGTGAGTGTGAAGGCACTTTGTTAGTGATAAGAGTTAATTACAGGCTGGATATGAGTAGCCTTCAATCAGTGCACTGCAGAAACAATCCATGACCTCCTCCGTCTCATCCCTCCATGTCCCTCCCTTCAGAGAATGAACGACAGCCTGCAGAAGTCACACTTTACCTAAAACCAAACCACTTTACAAAAACAAAATGTCTACCTAAGAACAGGAATGGAGATATATGTATAAAGCTGCATCGAGGAGGACATTTCTCTGCAGGGTCTTTATTGTCATACAGAAAAATATACCTATTGTCTAATAAGGCAGTCATTTAATAAAAATAAATAAAACGTCCTGTTCATAGACAATTTTCATATCCAAACAGCTAAGATAAAACAAACAACTAAATTGTAGGACCTGAAATGTATACTTCTGACAGAATGGTCAATGTTTCAAAGATTACAAAGAAGTCCAACATTGGGAGAATATTGATTTTTGTTGAGACATCATGTGTTTCCCTCTGCCGATGCACAAAATCAGTATAAAAATTATCTTCTCATTATCTTAAAGTCTTAATGAGATCATGGGTCATTTAATCATGGATTGTCTGAACACCAGCTCCTGATTGGTTGGACATCCCTGGAGCTCCTTTAATTATTGGTCCAGATCATTTCCTGAAAATCATTAAAATGCTACTACTTCGATTCCTACAAACAGGACGAACAACATCTCACTATTTAAGCCAGCTCTCTTGTTCTTTGTTTGTGAAGAACTTTAGTGTGTGGAATGTGCTATATAAATAAAGTTTGATTGATTGATCAATTGAGTATTTAATCTCAATGCCACAAAAAAACATGAAATAACAAAATGTAGACACTCGTTTAATTTACTCATTTAAATGTATAGGATCTGGCTTCATGACATGCTGCCAGTAGAAATTGAAATGACACATACATTAAAATGTGTGCCTTCTTTTACTCTAACATAAGATCTAAAAAGGACCTATCATGCTCCTTTTCAGGTTCATATTCATATTTAGTTATTCTCCTGTGACATGTCTCCATGCTTTAATGTTCAACAAGCTTTTTATTTTTCTCATACTGCCTGTGCTGCAGCACCTCTTTTCACCCTCTGTCTGAAACCAGAGCCCAGTCTGCTCTGATTGGTTAGCTGGCCAGCGCTGTTGTGATTGGTCAACAGCTTAGAGATATCCCGTCCCTTAGCAATTGTTACATAGTGATGTCACTACGTTAACTGGAATCACACAAAGGAGTGACCCAATGGAGGCGTTTCAGGCATGAGGGGGTTGTGGAAGAGTAACTCCCCTCTGTAGGAATCACAGGGATTTTAGTCTTTTACATCCAAAGAAAACTATACAACACACTATAGGAAAGGGAAAAGCATAATAGGGCCTCTTTAATTCTGTGTATATGAGGTCTATTGATACATTTAAAAAAAAAAAGGAGTGGGAAGGAAGTTTGCTTTAAAAATATGATGCAGATTTGGGTGATTTGTTATACTACATACATAAACAGTCAAACCAGAACAAAAGATCCACAGTTAGATTAATGCTGCAACAATGTTCATAGATATTAAACGCAGACCGAGTCCGTTTCCATGCCGGTCTTCTTATCATCCTTCAAAAAGTCAACCAGAACCTTTGTAAATGCGTTGCTGTGTTAAGAGGAATGAATCATCATCTCAACAGGAGAGTGATGCTCGCAGCTTCAGCCAGACACAGGCCACTCACATTGTTCATTTCATTACCTCGCCGAGATGAAGCAAAAAACTAAAGGCGGAGAGGGGGGAAGAGGGATGGATCTAGCTCAAGCCGCAACATCCGTAAAGAGATTCTTCAATATTTCAATTTGCTGCGCCTTGTACTGTTCCATGGTATGCAGTTTAAATGGAGGACTTTTATGATGCAAATGCAGGCAGGAGCTATAAATCTCTCTTGCTCTCCTCTCCTGCGCTCCCCTGATGCAAAAGATGTGCTCTCTCCTTTTCAGACACACATATACACACTCACACTGAGGCGCTATCCCCGCACTCTGCCTAGCTTTCTCTCCACTGCAGCATCGTGTTACACTCGCCCCCTGGCCACATGCAAAATTAATCAGGTCCAGGTGATGTAGGGAGGGGGGGAGAGGGGTGAGAGAAGGAGTAACAGAAAGGAAGACAGGGAGAGAAAGACCCCAAAAAGTAATGCTTTGACTTTCCTCAACAACTTCTAGGTCACTTTAATTTGGACGATGATAACTCAGTCAGCCGCTTAATCACACACGTGCACGTCGCTACCCGATCCGTACCGGAAACCCGGTGCATATCTGTTCCTGCCCGTGATGCTGACTGAAGCATCTCGAGGCAATTTACGGCATGTTTGTGGGATTTCAATACAAATATGTGATCTTTGGTTTGCCTATTATGAAATAGAACAATTAAAACTGTTCCTTTTTTGATAAAGAATGTCTAAAATATGGGGCTATATAGTTTACCAAAGAAAAGCTGGTGAAATTCTTGCATTGTTTTAATAGGGTAATTGTTAAACTCATTCAACTATGAAAAATGAAATACTTTATATCATAATGTACACTCATTAAGATACTTTTGAACCTAAGACACTAACAGTGTTGTAAGATTTACTCTAAACATATTTTATCAATATGTATTTCTAAGGCCCTCACAATTATTTTATATTAAAATCGTGTGTTTTGTATGCACCTGTTCCTATTTGATCTTCGTTTAATTCCTGAAAGCCGTGTTCTCTGTGCTATCGGCACTTTATCAACAACACCGTAAAAAATGTCGGTGACAGGAAGTAGTTATTTTTCCACAAAAACATACACAGTAGTGCAAACACACACTATGATAAAATAATCCCAAAGTATCAGGTTGTATTGAAGTGCTATGCTCTTATAATGGCCGCATAAAGAATGACTACATGCAATTCATATGTTTACATTTGTTGTACTAATAGGTCTATAGTTTCGTATTAATGTACGAGTGATGTATCCTAATTACGTAATCCGCTTATATGTATTGCGTTACTCCCTGCCACTCTTCAAAGAACTCAAAGAACAGCAGTTCAATACCCTGTCCTTTTACAAAGTGAGCTTAAACACAGAGCTAACTGGAGCATACACAGACTACCTGACATCTGGGTGGAGTATTACACACAAACATCTAGGGAGAAGCTTTAATTAAAGAGCATTTCATGATTTCAGTAACTGCTGACCCCTTGAACCCTCTGTGCTGCTCCTCCTCACCAGGGGGAGGTGGTGGATGTGCACTACGCCGGCGTGGACGACCTCCGGAGGGCCAAAGACAGCCTGAACCTCACCAACCAGATCGCCCTGGTCAAGCTTGGCCGAGCACCTCTACTGTACAAGGTACGATCCAATCTAACCTCTGCTACTGCTCTGCTCCGCTGATAAGGGAATTGCATGCATGTGATTTAACGCTGTACTTGAGATCTATCTGATACTATAATCCTGCAGCAGGGAAACATATTCTGAGGAATGAGATCTTTTTATCTTTAAATAAGTGCAAGGTATGACTCAGAAAATTATGTTCCTGAGCCTTTAAACTAAATGTCCTTCCTGATCTCGGGTATTTTATTATACTTGCATCCAGTCGTACCTCACTGCATTTTAAAGTAAGTTAATAAAGCCTGCTGCAAACAGATTTGTATACTGGCCGGTCATGCATCACTTAATCTTCATTTTATTTCTTCAATAAATGTATCATACTTGACTCGTGTATCCGCAGGAAAACTGTCTGAATCCATCCGTCTCAATAAGAAGTAGCATTAGCGACGCACTGATAGATTAGGCCTTCTCCTGCTTGGGTGTGTGCCCACGTTCCGCTCTAAGCTGTTTTCTTATCAATTAGAAGATGACAGGGAAAATATATATTCCAATCCAGTTAATTAAAACATAAATATCTACTTACATTTTAATTACTCACACATTCATCTTAAGTTTCAATTAAACTAAAAGTAATTGAATTATGCAAACGTGAAAACAAACTTAATGTGGATGAGATGGAATATTGAGTAATGGAAATGTTTACTGAGAGTAGCTTTGATTTTGTCCATGTATGTCCGTTGACTTTGAATTAGTAGTTAAAAAAGCGGGAAACTGTAAAATGATTGTATTCAATTATAATTATGTTTACCATGTTAAATGATATTGATATCCTTTCATAACTGAGGTTTAGATGCAAGACGGGGGAAAAAAGCTTTTTTCCGGAGAATCTGAAAGCTTTGACTTCATGCTTTGTGCAGTAAAACCAAAACCTGTAATGCGATAGAGACTGTGATGATTCAACAAGCATCCACAATCTGCGTCTATAGAAAGGTTTATTTGGTGATATTTAAATAATATATTTGCCTGTATGTATCAAACTTAAAACAACTTCTATATTGCTAAAAGCTCTGGGAAGACTAGTTAATGAGCCTTTGGTTGATATTTGTTTTAGTTGTTCCAACTAATGTCTAATATCTAACTATCTTTTAACAGATACAACATTTCTACCTCCATTTCAACTGATCAAAGTTCAGCCTCTGATAAACACAGAATCTAGTTTAAAACTCTGGAAAAAGCTTAGCAAATTAACCTGGTGCTCCATTTGTTTTGGAGCTTAAACTCACTTAAAATGTTATATGGAGAAAACTTAGATGTAAATATGTTTTTGGCTATACAATTATGTATCCTAGTTTCATTTAATTTCCCTTCAGTTACCAGATATGCAGTGTATATGTCAGGGATTGTATTGAATTATTAAGTAAGCTAACTAAGTTAACTACGTTATGTATACGTGTCACCACTGCCATGTAAGTTGAGTATGCTATGTAACTTGAAATAAGTCACCATTAAGTTATGGTTTCAATCTGGACACAAACAGCATTGTTTTGGTATTTGTTATCAGGGGGTTTCACTTTTGCTTTCAACCATGTTTCACCAGTTAGTGGCTGTATTTTGCAGATAAAGGTGTGAAACTCTGGTTAAAGCTACAAAGACGACCTTGGGTTTGGAATGTTTGCCAAATTCTACTCTTATTTTAAGTCTTAAATGTCCTTTTAAGTAGTTAAATAAATGCAGGCACTAAAAATACAAGAAAGCAGTTTCCTCGGCTTTATTCATTGAACATTACTCTACTTCCGAATGTGAGGCTGGTGAGAAATGACAGGCTAATGAGCCATAACAGGAGTAAATGGAGGTTAACAAAAAAAAGTAGAGTAAACGTTCAAAGAGGGGTCAGCATACTGCATTTGCATTCCTACAGTTAGAGTTTTAGAAATCCATTAAATCAGTCTGCACCTCCTGCCTCATGGGAGCGGGCCAGCAACAGCTGACCCATTTTTCCTGCTCGCGCACAGTTTGTGACAAATTTGATCATGTGTGCTCCATAATGTCTCCGTGTGTCAGCAGCTGAGAGGAATGATCGCCCTTTACGTAGAACTGGGGAGGAATGATGGATGAGCCTTGTACCCGCACTAATGATCATGTGACGGTGACCGCAGGCCCAGTGTTAACATACAGCTACACTCATATTTAACACAAACATGGAGCATACGTTTGAACCATATTGGCTTAATAAGTCATTTAGTTCCATTAGTACTAGCTAATTTGAGAATCACAATATAGAATTGGGATATTATGTTATAATATGTTTATTGTTTTCTTAATGGTTTTCCACACATTTTACTAACACGTTATTTAATACATGTATATGAATGTCAATCATGTGTGTGTCTTCTGTAATCATGTACTTGTGAAAGTAAAGGCTTTCACACACTATAGGAACATGATCATTCCAGGATACGGAAAAGCAAATTTTTACTTGCTTGAAAATATTATGCCTCATATCTATATGTACTGAGAGCGATGAGAATTAGCAACGGTTAGAATGGGTCTTCTTTGGCGTTTGTCTTTGGACCTCCAGCTCTGTTGAGGTGAGCCAGGCCAACGTTTCATTGTCCATGTCGATCAGACCACGGTATTCAATGACCTTGATCTTGGCGGTGGTAAGTCCTATCGCTAGGCATTTGCATTTAGCATTATTTGAAGGTGCTGCCTGACCTGAAAGAACTATGCTTGTTGCGGTCTTCAGACGTGGTCAAGTCTTTACTTGACCACTTTTTAGGCTTATAAGCCCACACGCTACTTTTAGGGGAGGCCAAGTAAAGGATATCGTTTTCCACCCAAGGCAGTGCTCAACATTTGGAAGTAGTTTACATTTTGGAACTCAGCATACATGGGACAAGGGCCAAACAATTGACGCTGACAGATATGTTCCTTAAATATCAGTTTACAGCATAATGAGGAGGAGTTGTTTGTTTATGTGCGGGGTGATCAATACCCTGACTATAAGATCTATCCAGTGTTTCACCTATATTCATTTCATGAGCACTGCTGCTGAAATGTCATTCGATCATTAATATCCTCTGCTCTTGTGTGCTGAAGTGCAGAACCCACCTACACTCACAGAGACATAAACAACATTTTCTAGGGAAAGCACTTATATTTATTAATACTTTAAAAAACTGTTTCTGGATTAGATCCGAAGGTATGGTTAGCTGTTTATAATTGCTGTTCAACTTGCCTTTGAAAAGTTGTCTGAAGAGCAGACACCCAGCCACCGACCACGGGCCCTGCGTCTTCAGGCGGTAAAAGATGCTGCATGTGTGCGGCCCTTTATGTCTAAGGATTCTAGGGAGGCAAGAATGGAAGGAGTGGATCTGGTATAAGCTGCTTAGTCAAGGATGACAGGATAAAGAAGGTTTTCTGTTTCTGTTCGTTGAGGTGGATTACGAAGCCTCAATATTGTTGTTTAGACAAAGGCACAACACATAACTAATAATTGTGTACTTTACTCAAATTGATTGGTATCTACCTTTTATTTGCAAATAATATTTATTAAGAAATGCCTTCTTTATTTGACGTGTAAAGTTCATGCTCTGTGTGAGAATATTTATGTCCAACAACAGTTCAAACTTGTTTTGTATTGACCTGATTAAAAGCACGGGGGAACAAATATAAAAATAGTAAAGGCCTTCAGTATGCAAGATCATGTGATTTTGTTCATGAGCAACACAAGTGTGTTCATTTCAAAATGAGCAGAACACATGGTAAACAGCGTGTGCATGCTACTTGCATGACGTTCTCTGCTTTTTCGTATTGTAAGTGGTTGATAGCCGGTGTGTGTAAAGTTAAATGAGTGTGTGTGCTTGTGTGCAGTGTCTGCAGTGAAGGACAGAGTTGTGATGAGAGGAGCTTGACCCTGGTTGGTGTCACATATTCAATAAAATACTCATCCACCCTCATAAAAAACAAGGACGCTACATTTCCCATGGACAACAATGAAATACTGCTGTATGCAGCCCACTGCCTCCCACCCAGCAACTATTCTCTCACTACCAGTAATGTGGGATGAATAAACACCTACGCAGTGTAACCTTTGACAGCATGAGAACCACAACCAGCCATATAAGGAAACTCTGACTTCAAAAGGATGAGATATAATAAGTAACTGCAGTAATTATAAATGTACTTTCTGTTGAGCAAAGTAACACCACAGAGATGTCACCACGTTCACACTTTGAGTCATTAATTGCAAAGACACACACATAAGGGCCGTGTCTCAATTCAGGGGCTGTACTCTTCGGAGTACGCAGCCTACGCGGTCCACGGGGGACCCAGCCCAGGTAGACCGGGTAGCCTGGACCGAGCGGCCTACGAAATGAGACAGTCTAGCCTACGGAGCGCTTCGTATTTATGTCACGTGATACGTGCTGTTCGGTTGCGCTGCTCCAGCAGCCTGCTAGCTAATTAGCTTACAAGCTAACTCAGCTGAAAAAGATCCAGAAACGTCACTTTTAGTTTTTTACTTTAACCATTTTTTGGAGATCACCGACGGCGATGAAATAAAGAGGACCATGGCCAGGTAAATAAGATTAAGCTGTTCCTTTAGCCCCCAGTAATGTTACATTAGTAAGTTAACAAGTAAATGATATATAGCTGATGTAATTTAATCATATTATTTCATATTTAAAATAAGTCTTAATTTTTCTGTACTAATAAAACAATATGTTTTTTTAAATGAAAAAAAGCATGTTGTATAGATTGATTCTTACAATAACAATATTAGTTTTCTAATCTTAATATATAGCTGTGATTATAACAGTTTATATTCTCCTTCTTCCCCTAAACCAGCCTAGATGATATCCCACTGACACCAGGTCAGCACCTCCAGGTCCAGCACCACAGTGACCCCCCGCTCTGCTGAAATACACAATTAAACATTTTCTATGACCTATTTTTTGTATTAATACAATTAAACTGAATTTAAGACAGTTGAATGACCTAGAGATATCCTATTATTCCACTGCGTATGTACACATGTTGTAAATAATGGTTAAAACCTCAGTAAATGAAATAAACAATGTATTTAACAATTACAATTTAATATTGTATTTTCATCTTATCACAAAGTAGAGGTAAGAATATATCCATCCTCTCTCTGCAGCTTCATGTCTTCTATTATTATAACTTTCATCATTGAGACAGAGGAAATCAATCATGTACTTTAACATCAACAGCAGTAAAACAAATATCAGCAAAAATGTGTTTATGGAGTTGTTTGTTTGTATTATATGTGCAGCAAGTATATAGAAGCAGCTGTTTGGGGAATCAGACAGACTCAATCTATAATCGTTAAATATCTATTAAAAGAAAGGACACATACAAAATAAAATTCTGAAACTAAGACACAAGTCTGTAGGACGGCAGTAAGCAGAGGTCTGGGTGGAGGATGTTCCTGATTGCTTTCTCCAGCACCTCGGGGGGTCCAGGTGGATGGAGCTCTGTCCTGATGATTTGCCGTGCACTTTTCAGATTAGGGGTCCTTCTCCAGCAGATCCATTTCTCCAGAATTGTCCTAATCACAGAGAAAAACAAGAGAAAAATAAAAAAGTGAATTAATCATATTATTAAACACAGGGTTGCAAAAGTATTATTGCAAAATGTAACACTAAGCATTTCAGACAAACAAACAAAAGCATTATTTAAAATGATATACCGTTTTGGTTTTTAAAAAACTAAAGAGAAGAAGTGACAGTCACAGCTTGCATATCTTTGACAGCACGGCACAAACAAAAATCAAGCAAAAGGCTGCTGTGCATTTTTGATTGTCTTATTATTATGGGAGTAGGATAAATGAAAGGGGACCTATCATGCAAAATGCACTTTTGTACGTCTTTTATACATGAATATGTGTCCCCGGTGTTCCAGGGAACTCACCAAGTGTCAGAAAACACAACCCTCTATTTTCCTCCATACCCAAATCTCTAAAAACGGATCTGATACAGACTGATCCAGGTTTGAATTATTTTCTACGTCACAAAAGTGGTGCTCCACTTAGTGGTCAATTCTCCACCTATCAGGGGAATGAGAGGTTGGGTCACAGCCGGCCATTGCCGCTCGAAAGCGCTGGAGATGCTGTAGTACATATGCCAGGCCTGTAAGTGGCGCTGTAGTCTGCCACAAAAGCAGCGAAGAAGACTTCCATGGTTGCCCTTCTGTTTATTCTCCGCTGTGGCTCTTTTTCTCCCTCCCCCAGGCAAGCGTTTGCTCCTGCTGCTGTAATTCAATGCAATCCCTCCCCGTCGAGGCAAGCACTGTAATTCTCTCCGGTTAGTCCACCAGCAGATGACAAACACCCACCTCTACGCGTCTTCCAAGGAACGAGGGGACCGTGCGGCAGAGTTTCAGTTAGGTTTTTTTTCGGCGGTCAAGATGTCCGTTAAAGTTTAAATCTTCTGGACGAAATTAGAAAAGTGCCGATCAAAGGTCTTCTTTGTAATTTATTGAGCTTTAAAACAAATGAATAATGACTCTATATAATAATATAATAAAACACGGAGGACGGAGATCTCTTTTTCTCCCCCTCTTCTGACAGCCCAGCAGCTGATCTCAAAACACGCTCCCCTCTCCTGCAGGGGGGCGTGGTCAGCTGCAGCTCATTTGCATTAAAGCAACGTCACAGAATCAGCCCCCTGCAAAAACAGGGCTGGAAAGAGCAAATAGAGCAAAATGAGGCATGGCTAAAATGCATGATCTGTTTGGTATTTTGAAAAAAAAACTATATTTATATACTTTATATAGGTATAGCCCTACAATATATTGTTCAAATCTAGCATGATATGTCCCCTTTAAATACACTTTAACCTAAATAAAAGATGATCAAATCTGGTGGAAATATTTAAAATAGGCTTTTTTTTTTGCTCTACCTCAAAGCAGCATGAGCTGAATACAAAGGTTGTAACGTTGTCCCAAAGTTGAACAAACAGTAAAACATTGCAACATGTCAGAGAAATAAATAAAGCAAACGGCAGCTACACGTCAGGGTAGCATCTTATAAATCCCACCGTACTGTAGGCTATACCGGTCTAAATGTTTTCACTTTGGTCTATTTATAGATGTAATATCAAGTATAACTTATCTATAACAGAGCCAAGATCTCTGTATGACTTTAGTAAACTTCCGAATTGAATTAAGAATACAGTGTAAACCGACAGTGCAGTACGTCCAGCTAGTGTCACTAATGTCACATTTATCCGTATTATTTAACGAAAATGTACGTTTTAATGCTCCTTGGGTTAGTTAATTTAAAGTAAGTTAAAACCCAATACTCACATTTATTAGTGATTCCTCCGCTTGCTGCTGCTTTTGAATTCACTCTGCTGGGGAGACCGGACCGCCATTTAATTTGATAAAAAGTCACTCATCCCTGTGCGCATTGCACCCTGGGATATGGTAGACCGCGAAGGATACATCGGATGTATCCTCCAAATCCGGGAAAAGAAGGCTGCATTCGGAAGAGTCTCGTCTTTTAGAAAAAATTGGGACAGCCTTCTTTTGGCGGAAGTGATGTATGCGGTCTACAAATGCAGCCTCCGAAGGGTTCAGCCCCTGAATTGAGACACGGCCATAAGGTGTGGCACATTTACACTGCATTTTCTACCCAGAAATTACACGGGGGGGAAAGGAAATCAGGACGCAATTGCAGAATAAAAGAGGGCAGGCAGGTATAAAAGTGTTAACAAAAGCGAGCTTTATCGTATTAAAGCTGGGGCAAAACAACTAAAATAAGCTATAGGAGCAGACAATGTGAAACAAGAGGAAAATAAACAAAACAAAACAAGGAACAAACCGGTAAGACTTGGTGAATACAGGAGTGAATGATAGGAAAGGAGCTTTGAAACTTCCTTTATAACCTCCTTTAGCTTAGGAAGCACTGGACCTTCCTTTACGAAAGGAAAGGAGAAAATGCTGTCCCACAATGCCTTGCGGCCACAACAATTGCCGTGACACAACATCCGGCCGCTCTGTTTCGGTTCATGTGAGGCCCACCCCAAAATGCTCTCATTGGTTGAGACTCGTGATGACGCCCATCCTAAGCCAATACTGATCAACATCCCACCCCTCCTGTAACCAATGGTGTGTCTGTATGTGTCTTCAGAGCCAGTGAGCAACAGACTTATATACGGAATAATATGAATAATACAAAAAATCTTAATGCATATACATAATGATTGTCTGCGTTAATGAATGAATGCGTTAACGAGCCCAGCCCTGCTCTTTATTTTAAAAAACAAACAAGAGCCATAGAGAGATGTGGAAGACTTTTGTGTGTAAGACTCTTTCCAACCAGTCAAAAATAAGTACCGCTACCGTTTGAACAACAATGTACACAACCCCTCCTCCCTAACACCAAATCAAGTAGAAACTCAAAGTTGGCTATGAGATGATTAGAGTGATGCATATGCAAAGTAAAGGGCTTGTTATTTCTCTTAGGATGTGTTGTATAACAGCTGTGATGTGTAAATTGGCAGTTATTTCCTTTTGCTTTAACACCTTTGAAAACAACCAACACGTGCTAAAATGAAATAAAAAAGATTTTTAATCATGCTGAGGTATGAGTTGTCGCAGTCTTTCCTGCACAATTAAAGCATTTTTAGCATAACATGTTTCTTATCGTGTGCCTCCAGCTATCCCTCCTGTCTGAACTGGGTTTTGGAGGTGTTCTGCTTTACATCGACCCATGTGACGCCCCCCCTGGAAGCCACACCTGGCATCAAGCCTTCAGAGTAACCCTCAACCCAGGAGGAAACCCTGCCATATGTAAGTGCCTTTTTATTAGTCAAGTGAACATATACTTGCCTATTTAAGTTTGGGAAAACCGAAAAAAATTCAGCTTCTCTCTGTATTTAACACTAAATGCTTTACTTTATTTCTTTAATGCAACGTGTTTGTGTGCTTTCTGTCACAAAACACAAGTTATTCAAATAAATGTGCTTGTTGCATGTTATAGCCCTTTCTGTACCCAATTTCTAATCTGCCTATACACTGACATTGTTCATAAAGGGGAAAAATGCCCACAGAATAATCATCCACTTAGCTGCTTCTCGATATTGTGACTTTGAATATCTCAAATATTGAGGCAGCAAAGATAATTTCATTTAAAGAGAAGATATTATGCCAGTTCTCAGGTTCATATCAGAATGTAGTGTCTCTACTGTGACATGTCTCCATGCTTTAATGTTCAAAAAGCTCTTTATTTTTCTCATACTGCCTGTGCTGCAGCCCCTCTTTTCACCCTCTGTCTGAAACCAGAGCCCAGTCTGCTTTGATTGGTTAGCTGGCCAGAACTGTTGTGATTGGTCAACCGCTTAGAAATGTCCTACCCCTATCACATACAATGTGTTGGAGCGCTAGCCAATAGCAGTGCGGGTGTTACATAGTGATCTCATTATGTTACGGAAGTAATCAAAGGAGTCCAATGGAAGCGTTTCAGGCAGGGGGGGGGGGGGGGGGGGGAAGTATGTGGGAGAGAAACTCCCAACTTTTGGATTTGATCCTTTGCAGACCATTTACATGCACATATATAACCTAACACTCTGCCGGTTAGGGAAAAGCCCCAAAAGCATAATAGGACCTCTTTAAAACCAAATCGTATTGAAGCTGTAAAAGCAACCTTTCTACTTATGCCAGATTTAAAAATAGTCTAACAAGTAACATGTAATGTAAAAAAATAGCCTTCATATTACGTGGGAAACAAATACTTCTCCCTTTTTAAAAGTGTTTTCAAACCTTTAATAAACTCATTTTATTATAAGCACTAAATAAAGTAAAGCTCAATGCAATTATACATATTTCTTTGGAATCTGGTCAATCCCTGAAACACATTTTCTACCTTGGCCTCAGGCAGAGGACGTTATATCTCTCTGTATCTCTGTGACTCTTTGCTACTGTATTTAAATCCCCCTCCCAAGATGGATGACCTCTCCGACCCTCAGTCTTGTCTATACTTCCTGTTTTTCTGCCCGGTCTGGCCAATGGGGACGTGTCATTACCGCTGAAGTATCTTTAGTCCTTGTAAGAGTCCCAGTACCACGGTAGCAAGACCCTGTAGAGCCCCGCCAGATGTCTGGACTGCTGTGTGAGCATGTGTAAGAGTGTGTGTGTGTGTGTGTGTGTATGTGTGAGGGGATGTGTTTAAGAGAGAGAGAGACAGATGCTGGCTGTCTGCGCTCCGGTCCCCTGTGCTAATACAGCTCAGAAGAACAGAAGATGTGAAAGGACACCTCATTACTCATATCAACCAGACTTTATTCAACTGCCAAATACTGTTTTTATTACTGGGAAATATTTCTATAAATGAATCAAAAGAAATGGGGTCTACCCATTAGAGGAATACTTAAACGCTAAAATCATCAATTTTCTTTTTCACATGGAGAAGTAACATGAATGCGTAAGAGTAAGACAGTTTTAAGTCTTTTAAAGAGTTAGGTTTGAGTGACATGTGTTGGAAAGTAGTGAGCAGAATGGATAAATAAGATTATGCTGCAATAGCTTGTTCTGATATGAGGCCTGTACTACGAAGCCAGTTCAACAGACCCTGGATATGTTTGAGTTATCTGGCTTAACTAACCCTAACAAACGAGATCTCGCTAAGCGGTCCTACGACGCTGGTTTGCAACTCAATGAGTCACCACAATATAGACAAGCTTTACTGACAGCTGAGCGTCATACTTCATGAGTGAACTCTAAACTATCATGTTATACAAATATGAAGAAGTTGAACTTTAAACATCCATGCCTTAAACACTTAATCCAGGATAAAAGCAACTAAATTGCAACTGCAAGGTGCAGAAAGAACAGCTGCTAAAAAAAACTCCCAACTGTTTGAATGCTTAAGTTTATAATATCACTGCCCCATTTAAGACACAAGTGACTTTAATTACACTTACACAACTTCTGCTTACAGTATGCGGCAATATAAGTGCACGACTCCAATGTGTTGCTCTGGAGCAGTTTACGTGTTCAGCATAAGTTACCATGGAGATCTACCCCGGTACGAAGTGAACCAGCGTCGTAGGAGCAAAACCCAGAGTTAACCCTGAAGTTACCTCGCTAACCGCAACTCCTGCTTGGTAGTACAGGCCTATGGTATGCTTCAATTCATAAATATATTCATAATATTGTATTTTTCTCAAACCATTTAAAAAATAAAATGTTGATTCTCAAGGAAATACAGGAATTTATTAATATAATATTATTATTTTGAGGGAGACGTACAGTATTAATTCAAGCCTATGTGCTTTCCAGTGTTGTTTATTTATTTATTCATGTTTTTATTTATCTATTCATCCATCCATCTAATTATCGGAAAATGTTCCTGATAAGATTTACTCATCCTGAGGGGATTATTCATATCATACAGCAGCACAAGATGCATGCAAAAAACGTAGACTATTACAAAATAAATCTATTAAAAAATATTTATTTCAAGTAGCAGTTTGCTGTTTATAAAAATTGTATTTATTGGGATAAACCCCTTGAGATGCACCATCTCGTTTTCAAGGGGGTCCCGACAATAGCAACAACATAAACAAAAAGACAAAAAGCAAAACATGACAAACAAGACAAACCACGTACAGTCTGTTAAGTAAAATTCAATTAATACATACAATCATTACAATCATTACAATTTGAGAGACAGTCGAGCAGATCAGTTTCATCAATATCAGTTTCATCAATAACAAGTGCAGACCAGTTGAAAGTGAGATGATAATGCATGTTTAAACAACCAAAGCTGTAAGATTGAACCGCACTTCCTTTAACAATCATGACTAAAATCTTGTACAAGTTGTTATCTATGAATAATTGTGCAAACACTTGAGTGAATACTTGAGTGAATATACTTTTCGTAGTATAAATATAGGTGGATATTGTAGGTTAAAGGATAATGTTTTGCATACAATTTAAATAATGCTCTGAAAAGAAGTTACAAACAATATTATGACATTATTCACATTTCTATTAGTGTAATATATAATAACTAGTCTAATTAACTAAAACCCGAGATCCTAATTTGAGCATCACTATATCTTCGCTATGTGCTGTCAAGCTATCCAAATATACATTATCTGGTAAAACTAAATATTTTCCATCATTGCAAACAATATTATCCAGCGTTTGAAACATATGCTTTCACATATATCCAACATAAATGACTACTTCAATGTATGTAAAAGCAGCTGGAGCCATATTAACTTATTTGTATTATTATGTCTAATCGTGCAGGCATTTAACATTCATATAGTATTAAGTGATAGCCAAAAAAACATGTTGCATTTAAACCCTTAACAATTTTTGTGATAAGCTTAAATGAACCCTGCAGTTTTAGAAGAACACTAAACATGTCCTTCCCTTAAGAAGTATTGGATGTGTTTTTTATCTAGTTTTTCAACAAATATCTATCGCTTTGAGTAGTTTCTCAATGTATAGATTTAGATTTACTTCTACATGTGTGCAGTCTTTGCACATTCCTCCCTGGTGTCAGAATGTAATCCCTATGAGAATAAGATATGATACGATAATACTTTAATGGTCAGATCAAGTCTGAAATTTGACTTGCATCACAGCAGCTCCATTTGCAACATGGACAAATATCAAGACACAATACATGAAAAAACAATCATTTAACATAACGAGGGGTTACGTATGGTAACCCTTGTTATATAAGCACAGGCTCCGCCCTCTACTGGACTCTATGGGTACTACCCCTTGATCATATCATGCAAGCATTCATCCACTGAGACTTCTATAAACGTAGCTGGCCCCGGGATGGGCCTACCTGAATGCGCGCGCATCTCACCGCATAAAAGGAGGCCTCGCCTCCTGACTGTCATCCTACACCTCGCTTCAGCGAGCGGCATAGGACCGACGGCCCCGAGTAGAGGGCGGAGCCTGTGCTTATATAACAAGGGTTACCATACGTAACCCCTCGTTATATCTCTCACAGGCTCCCTGATGTATACACGCGCTGTCGTCCAACAACACAGTTCCACCCCACTGCCCCTGACCGGCTTTCTGGTTAGCAGCAGCTGCACCGCACCCTCCTTTACCTCGGTTGTGACCGTGGAGAAGTCTGGGCCGCGGCTGACAGAGCACACTCAGAGGCGCTTACTTCGCGAAAAGTGTGCTCGGAAAACAGTGCTGAGGGCTCCCCCGCCCCCCCCCCGCCCATAGGCAGACGGAGAGAGTCCCCAGCCCCGTATGGGCTCACTGTGCACCACCTCTCCCGAGTCCCTAAGGAGCACGGGGAGAGCGCAAGTGCCCCATGTCCCCCACACTGACCCCGTGCAGAGTGTATATGGACTATAGTGTGGAGGGCACTACGTCCCCCGGGACCCCCAGGGGAGGGGGTCAGATGCAGATCCACACACTGCCAGATATCTGGCAAAGGGGGCGAGACGAAGGCCGGCTGCGCCGGATGCACCGGGCCGTAAAACCCCTGTCGTAGGCGGCTTACTGGCCTCGGTGGCAGCGGTGGGGGGAGCGGTAGGCCCACACGCTCCGCCACCAGGGTCATCACCGCCGGGAAGTCCAGACGCGCAGACCTGTGTGCTGGACCCTCCTGGCCGCCGGACCCGGAAGTACCAGACAACGAGGCGTCCTCGTCGTCTTCCTCCCCCGTGAACGTGGCCACCCGGCCCCTCGGGATGGCGAACACGAATGGTACCTCATCATCCTGTTCACCCATCTCCACCACCTCGAGGTCCTGATCCTCTGCCTCCTCCGGTGGGCCAAACTTCACCCGGAAATGATCCCCACGA